CAAAATCAAAAATGATTCCCAAGGGGGATATAGTAGGTATCACTATATGGACTTCTAATGTTCCGACATGCCCCGTGTCCCAAATCAAAAACGCGCTCTCCTGGTCCCACGCGCGTGTCCTTGCCTGCATCGATGTCGCGAAACTGCTTGGAGGTTCATGGTACTTATGAACCAAACTATAACTGTACTTTTAACTGCACTTATAAGCCCCTTAACCAACTATAACTGTACTTATAACTGCACTTACAAGCCTTTAAGTGCCCTAATAGGGTTAGAGGTACGTTTATAAGCACAGGTCTCCCGCCACCTCTGGCACGTGCGGGGAGGGCCATGCCTAGACCTTGGTCGGTGCTGGTGTGCTCCTCCGTCCAGGGGCATAAGTGCCGCCCACTTGGCGGGTGACCGAAGCCTTCTGAAGATTTTGGGTTTCGGATTTGGAGTGACCAAGAACTGATGGAACTTACCGGCCACCGACAGGTTCCGTCTTGCAAGTGCTTTGACACCAAAACTCTAGTACATGCTCCTCTCTGTCAACTTTGTGGAAGCTTATGTCACGATGCGATCCACACTTGAGTCCCGCGCTCGGCAGGGCGGATGTACCGCCGCGACATGGCATGCTGACGCCATAATGTTGCGTCCTGCCACCGAGGACATGTTCCGCTCCCTTGCGACGATTCTGGCTTCACCTAGTCCGCCTCACCTGAACCCTAAACCATAAACCCTAAACCCTAAACCCTAAACCCTACATCCAGCCTCGCCTCGAGGCAGCTAGGGTAGCAATGATCCCAAAGCAGATGGTCTTCTGTGAAGACACACATGTGAACGTGGCGATCCAGAACAGAAGGCATAAGCAGCATGCAAGACAGCCCTCTGCCGCAACCGTCGCATGCGGCTAGTCTCAACTCTGTCAAGAGGCAGGAAGGTCCTGGCAGGCTCCTCTAAGAATGCGACACGTCTGTGCATTGCACAGCGACCTCAGCATCCCCCCCTCCACAGCCTAAACTCATCTGAACTGCTTCTAAGCCTCTAATGCGCTGAGCTGAACCCTCCGATACCCTCGAAAGCAGAAACCCTAAACCCTAAACCCTAAACCCTAAACCCTAAACCCTAGCAGAAACATGCGCCCTAAACAGTTGCCCTTGCTGCCCCCTTGTGAGGATCCGGCTCGGCGACGGTGCCGAAAGACGCGATGCAATTCCAGACAGGCCTTACACTGGCTGGTTCTTCGTAGGGAATGAGGGAATGAGGGAATCAGGGCCCTATAAAATCCCTTAAAGTGTATATATAGGGCCTCATTCCCTCATTCCCTACTAAGAACCAGGCCTTATATCAGGTCTTAAAGGTTTCCGTGATGGTGCGAAATCGAAGGGGCGCAGCTCCCTCCCAGGTGCCCTGCAGCAGGAATTCAAGTCCGTCTTTGCCCATCGTGCCTCAGAATGCTGGCAGGGATGATGGGAACTCACTTCCAGAAAAAAGCAGCACGCCGGCGCGAAGGGCAAGACGGGTAAGACGGGCAAGAGTCTACCGAAGCCCCACTAAGCCGCGAGCATTTGAAAGGAGGCGCGTCACACGTCTCGTTAAAAAGTTGGTTGGAAAATAGATCGGCGGCTCCGCGGCTTCCTAATGTGGGATACGTCAAGGTGCCGCAGGGTATAGGTGTAAGGCAACCCTAAACCCTAAACCCTAAACCCTAAACCCTAAGCCCTAAACCCTAAACGATGTAAGGTGCGTGTGCCAACTGCTGTCAAAGTGGTGCTGAACCCGCACAGGGCTGTCCATGCATTGCCTGCCTGCCCTATCTGATGCTCTTAAGCCTGGAGGCCAGGGTGGTTGAGGGTTTAGGGTCTAGAGTTTGACGGCTGTGTCAACCTCCGCAAACGCTGATCCCCCGCCGTCGCTCCACACTCCACCCTGGCTTTGGGGAGGGACCTGTTCCATGCCTTTTGGAGACACTCAGACCCTGGTCTTCTTTGGCTCCGGCCTACACGCTGCTGGTAGCCGGTAGCAGCTACCAGGAATTATACGGGGTTTGAACTCGGAAGAACGATGAACAAATGCATAGATGCTCTTCAACAAGCATCAGCCTTGAGCTACGGACGCCATGGCAACAGCTGTGTCAACCTCTGGAATGCTAAGCCATGCACAGGTTTTGTTCTCGAAGGGCAGCTTTCAACTGAGAACGCTTTCCCAAAAAAAGCTTTTCAATTATCGCAGGATTGCATACACCCCGAAACGGCTTCCTTGCTGGGGCGATATTCAAAATGATCATTGGTATTCCTTTTGGGAATTTAGCAAGATCTTGTGGGAATTTAATACGATACAAAAGAAAAATTATAACCAGCAAGGACCCCAAAAGGATAAAGGGTTATCTACGCAGCTACTGTCTAAGGGTGGTTTCATGGTCCCTTAATGTGGTTTTGACAACCTCCTTTAAAGGGTTCTGATGTATGGGCCCTTAATTTGAATAAGGCATATACGGGGCCTAAACCCTAAACCCTAAACCCTAAACCCTAAACTTAGGCCCTTACTATAGCTACCCTCAGATACGAAGCAACCGTCAGCGCGTGCCGGCTGTTTTCGACCGCGGAGATTGGCAACCGAGGGCTTCTCTCAGGGGCCTGGTCCATGACCTGCTTTGGGGAGTTTAGGGTTTAGGGTTTAGGGTTTAGGGTTTTAGGGCTTAGGGTTTAGGGTTTAGGGTTTAGGGCTTAGGGGTTAGGGTTTAGGGTATACGGTTCAGGGGGGAGTTTAGGGGGGGTGTGGGATTTGGGGCCTGGACGTGGCACTTGTCTCTTGACATCGGCCATGCAGAGTACGGAACCCGACATCCTAAACCCTAAACCCTAAACCCTAAACCCTAAACCCTAAACTTTCCCCTTGGAGCGCGGTGCACACCCCAACCCGGCAAACCCTGCAAACCCTGCAAACCCTTCAGGGGTATGAGGAGTTGACCCCCAGAAGGGACCCTATATAACCCCTATATATACCTTATATAGTCCCTATATTCCTATAAGTAGCCCCTAAATGACCACCCCCAAAAAAACCCCTAAATAACCCCCCAAATAGCCCCTAAATAACCCCCAAAAAGCCCCTTTAGGGTTTAGGGTTTAGGGCTTAGGGTTTAGGGTTTAGGGCTTAGGGTTTAGGGTTTAGGGTTTAGGGTTTAGGGACCCCCTGAAACCTGCCTCCGGCCCCAGAGCAGCGCGGAGGCTGCCCGCGCCGGGCCGCCGATGCCAGGCAGGCTCCTGCAGGTAGCTTAAGGGTAGCCCTAAACCCTAAACCCTAAACCCTAAACCCTAATCCGCTCTGGCAGAGACCTTGGTCCGCACTCTTGAAATCTCAAAAGGCTCACGGTGAAGGGGTGTTTGGTTTAAGGTTTAGGGTTTAGGGAGGATAGCTTCAACTGGGAGGTCTATAGGGAGTTGTTAGTCGGGTGTTAAGTCTCCTGAAAAGGTTAGAACCATGCAGAACTCTACCTACTGAAGATCCCGCTCATGTCAGCCCATGAACCTCACAGTAGACGACACGAAGGGGTAGGACCGACTGGCGTCAGTGAGTTCACGAACCCGAAGACTGCAAACCCTAAACCCTGAAGCCTTTAGGGTTTAGGGTTTAGGGATTAGGGTTTAGGGTTGAAAAAGGATTACCGTGTCGCCGCTACAGTGGTGCGGCAAGCAGCTTAAGACGGCTTAAGATGCACAAGCTTTGATGCCCATGCGGCAAGTCAGTCATAAAGCTGAATTCGGTGCCCAGGTTCAGAAAAAGCAGGTGCTGCCGGGGCACCACCTATGCCTCTACTCTGCAATTCATAACCTCCTGTGCCAGCCGCATTCCGGCGTGCAAGCGAGAGACGCTGCAGAGCCTTTGCGACCAGGAACCGGCGCACAGCCACACATGCCCATAAGGCCCAAACCCTGAGAAGGGTTTCAGGTTTCAGTGTGAGATGTTCTGCATTGTTCTGCGCCATGGGTCTTCTACGCCATAAATATGCCAGGCGTCTGGTACCCTCCCTACAAAACCCCTAAACCCTCTAAGTCCTAAGTCAAGCCTGCAGAGTTTCGAAGACGGGCTCATCTGACTGTGAAGGTCGTGCCGTTTCTGTTGAAGGCCGACCAGGTGGATGAGACACCCTGGAACAAAAGCGTTCCTTTGGCTTCCTCGGCCCTTGGCACATGGGGGTTTACGAAAATAAGACCCCTCATATATAGACCACAAATAATTAATAGGATTCCCTTATAAGAAGGACCCCAAGAAGGTACCCCGAATTTCGGAAACCCCCAGATGGGTCTATGCTCGACAAGCCATGGATGCAATTTACAGAACCACGTCAGTACTATACACGGGCACAGGTGCAGAGCAACTCGATGAGACTCTGCCCGCGGGCATTTACCCTGACCCCAGAATACTACAATCCTACACTCCAAATCCTAAGCCCTAAACCCTAAATCCTAAACCTAAATCCTAAACCCTAAACCCTAAACCCTCTTCAGGGTCGGGTCTGCACCTGCGCCTCAGCTACATCACATGGCAGCAAGAAAAGGGTTTAGGGTTTAGGGTTTAGGGTTTAGGGTTTAGGGTTTAGGGTTTAGGGTTTAGGGTTTAGGGTTTAGGGTTTAGGGTTTAGGGTTTAGGGTTTAGGGTTTAGGGTTTAGGGGAGGTTCGACAGTCCAAAAGCGGCCGTCTGCAAAAATGAGGGCAGCTCTGTAAGCTGCTGTTCAGGCTGCCTCTGCGCGTGGGAAGCGCTCCCGTACCTCGCACTCAGCTCACGACTAAAGAACGTGCTTTTCCTGAACGCAAGCATGCGAGGTTTTTTGGGGGGCTGCCGAAACTAGGGGTACCGGTCCTTCTTATAGATCTGGATCTATTTTGGGGGTCTCCCTGTTTTCGTAAACCCCCATTCAAGGCTGTTCGGTGCACCCCCCATTGTCCGGGCCTGAAAAAGCCTACCCTAAACCCTAAACCCTAAACCCCAAACCCCGGCCTGAAAAACGGGAGCAGCATCATGGACTGAGGAAGCGTGGCCCATTCGGATCGGCAAGGGTCCCGGCAGCCAGGCCTGGCAATACTTAGGGTTTAGGGTTTAGGGTTTAGGGTTTAGGAGTTAGGAGTTTAGGGTTTAGGGTTTAGGGTTACTTAGTTTGTAGGCGAACTAAAGGGTGAACCTTTGGGAGAATATGGGGAGTACAGCAACATCGGGGTTTCGGGTTTAGGGTTTAAGGTTACCCACTCTGTACTACTAAGAATACTCTCTCTTTTTCTGCGAAGACTCCCTTCGCTGCCCGCTTACGCTCGAAGCCTCCGAAGTGGACCGGGGGAATATGCTCGGGGGCGTACTATAATCCCTACTAAGGACTGTTAGTATAAGGGTTTTTGCTACTTATGTTTTGCTTCTTGCTTTTCTCAAAGGAGGAAAGGGGGGGGGAAGCATATTGCAACAGAAGAGGATTAAGCAACATGGGATGCCGCCCGCCTCCCGTCCCATAACCCTGCTTGTAGGTTCATGGGTACTTATAACCCCAAAGTATAACTGTCCTTATCACCTACTTAGGGGACTTAGGGGGCTTATACGTGCAGTTATAATTGGGGCTATACGTACCCTGAACCTACACTTCGAGTATGGGCCCTCTAAACCCTCTAAGCCTTAAACTTTGGGGTGCTCCCCCTTGTACTAACAGTCCTTCAGAGGGATTCTAAGGGGGTACTATACTCCCTATTAAGGACTGTTAGTATACGGGGGGAACATCCCAACTTAGACTTCTGGTAGACCCTTGCTTGGGTCTCTAGGCGCACTCAAAGTGTGCCTGCAACCGTCAGTGCTGCCCAGTCTGCCGCATGACCACCTTGGCTGGCGCACTTGCTAGGGTTTAGGGTTTAGGGTTCAGGGTTTAGGGCTCAGGGCTCATTTAAGACTTTTGGCAGTTCCCTCCGAGATGATCCCGTTGATGGGGAGCCCTCAACATACCGGGGGCTTCCGACAATAGTGTTTGACTTTGGGGGCCCGTTTTAGGGGTGATTCTATTTAATTTGGGGATTGGGGAGGGGTGAAAAGAGGGGGGGGGGGGAACTGGGAAATAGAGACCTCGCCACATTATGAACGCGGTCAGAACCCGACTTACAACTACCCATGACATGACATCACCCTAAACCCCAAACCCACAAAACCACCCAAGGTGGGATCCTCTGATGCAGCAAGGGCGCTGACAAGCCCTAGGCCCTAAGCCCATGATGCAGGCAGGGCGCTGATAAGCCCGGCCATGCGTCCCGTTAGGGAGGTTGGCTTGGGCTCCTGTTCCGACTCTCGAGCACCTTTCCAGCAAGAGGTCCTAAGTCCTAAACCCTAAACACCAAGCCACTAAACCTTATACCTGGAGATTCATGGGTAGTTAGAAAGTACTTAGGGAATAAAGTTGGGTGAGTAGTTTGTTCCCGGCTATGACAGCACTTGCAATCCTACCCATGAACCTGACTTCCAAAGCGCCCTCGTCCAAATTGCAAAGCGCGGCAGCTGAGATTGGCTTAGAGTTTCGGGTTTAGGGCCTAAACCCTAAACCCTAAACCCTAAACCCTTAGTCGAGTTCAGGGATGAGCTTAAGGGTTTGCGGCTCTAAGGGCAGTGTGCAAGAGGCGCCTTGTGCGGTGTCGATGGAATAGAATGAAGGAATCCTCTGGATGGCAGGTGCCTCAGCCATGGCGGAATCGCCTAGCCAACCCCCTCTCCCGAATTGACAAGGGTGTTGCACCCTCGACCCTGCCCCCACCCTCCTTCCCTCCCCGCCCAAAAAAACCTCAGATCTCAAGACCTTAAACCCCAACCCTAAAACCTAAAACCTAAACCCTAAACCCTAAACCCCCCCGGCAGAACCCACCTGAAACGAATCTGCAGGGCCCCAACGCTGTCGGGCGGAGGAAACGACGGCGGCGGCATGGGAGGCCGCGCGCCTGAGGCTCTTGCAGGTTCAGGGTTGAGGGTTCAGGGTTCAGGGTTTATGGTTTGGGGTTTAGTGATTAGGGTTCAGGGTTTAGGGTTTAGGGTTTAGGGTCTAGGGGCCTCTCGGGTCCCAGGAAGTTTTCGGCAACGATGACAGTTGCGGCCCATTCTTTTAAACTCGGGGTACGGGCACGGTGCGAAGGTTGTTTTGCTACGCACGTTCCCCAAAAGCACTCGCCGATATGCATGAGGTACACTATAATACCCTCACCCTCACACTAAACCCTAAACTCTTCACTCTTAACCGCAGGCATCCAGGCCTCGCAAGCTTTCCGCAACCCTGCGGCCAGCACCTTAGGGCGTCCATTTTGTTGCATGTGCCCTCCGAATGAACTGCATTTGTCCCCCCCACGCAGCTGGAGACCCCGCGCTGGATGGTTCTGTAAATTGGGGTTCCTTTTGAGGTCCCCTAGATAGTATGGCGCCCCTATCATAAGGACCCCCAAAAGGGACCCTAATTTCGAGAACCACCCACCCGAGCAGACGCTCCTGTCATGGGACCTACTCTGGGCGACTCACATGGGGATTGCTCTAAACACAACCCAGTAGGAAGTAGCCTTGCCCCCGCACTTACGCAGCTTCCTCACATGGCATGTGCCCTCTTGAAGGGCCAAGGCCACCCCTAGAGGAGCGCAGAGAAGGGGCCAGGGTTTGGGGGTTTAGGGGTTAGGGTTCATACTCCATGCTGGACTCCCTCACGTCTTTAGTACACAGATGCAGCCAGTGTAGCCAAGCAATACGACAGCATGCTCAAGTAGGGTTGCTGCGGCGCAGCCGCTTTGCCGCAAAGCAGACCTCGAGCAGAGTCAAAGTCATAAGCGGCTGCACCTATACTACAACCTACAACTCGCAGAACACAAAAACACGAAACTCGCAACTCGAGCCTCAAAACTCAAACCCCTAGAACCAACGAAAGCCCTGGAAGCCTCTAACCCCAAAAGCCCTAAAACTTCAAGCCCGAGAGCCCCAAAAAACCCGAAGTCCCAAACGCCTCAACCCCCCCCCAAAGCCCCAAAGTCCTGACAAAAAAAACGAGCCCCCGACGAAGGCGGCGCTGGTGAAGGAGATGTCGGTCGGCTTGTTGGCCCGCCTTAGATTGGGGCCATACTTCGAGCGCCTTAGCCTCAGGTTGGAATAGAGGGTGTAGAGGGCCTAGAGGGTGTAGAGGGTGTAGAGGGTGCATAGGGTGTATGGAGAGTATGGGGTGTATGGCGTGTCTAGTGTGGCATTTAGGGTGGGTGCTGCGATTAAAAGGATTTCGGGCAGACGCGCCATCAGTGAAGATCGCCAAGGCGGCGTCTTCATGTTTGCGCTCTAAGGCCATCGCCCATAGCACTCGGGCTGCTGGCCAAGTCCCCGCCGAAGAGCATCCTGTCACGTCAGTCTTGACCAGTACATGAACATAATCTTTTCAAATATTACTATAATTGCTTATTATATGTGGTCAATGTCAGATTCGTGTTGCGGCTCGCAGGACTGCTCACTCAACGGCGCGGTGAGGCCGCACCTCCTTGACAGAATGGTAGGTGCCCGTAGGTGGCGCTAGAGCAAAGTCTATGCCTCAGATCCCAGGTTGAAAAACACAGCCCCGTTGCCCACACGCTGGGCAACCTCTGTATCCTCTGTGCAAAATGGCGATGCAGCAAAGCCGCTTAGTCGGTTCGACTCAGTGTGGCCTAGCATCTGGGGCTCAGGGCTAAACAAGCCCCAAAATCCTGCATCTGCGTCCCTGAGACGCGGGCTTGGCCCGCTGCCCGTGCATCTCAGGTGGTCCTGAACATGCTGGGCAGCCAAGGGATGCTTCGGATTTTGGGCATCACAGGAAGCTGCAGCGAAACAAGCGTGCAAAGGGGCAGACTCTGGGCAGAAGGAATACTACACACATTGACACATTGTATGTGTGTGTGTATATATACCTATAACAGAAACATGCACCCGCATATGAGCACAAGCCCTACTCTTGCTCAGGTCTCCGCAAGCTTTCCAACAGTGGTGCAGAGCCCCACTGCCTCGATGCTGGCTTCGGCTTCGCCAACTTTACTTCCTACTTCCTACTTAGGGTTTAGGGTTTAAGGGTTTAGGGCTTGGGGCTTAATGAGTTATATATATATATATATATAAACTCCAGATTATGTTCGGGGGATATGATAGGCTTTAAGACTTAGGGATCTCTTTATATGATCCCTTCAAAGGTTGTACTCGGGGAATGTAGTAGGTGCCCAACTGGTTCGGGGGGGACTCCGGGAGCATCGTTCTGGGTTGCCCGACTGCCTCTTCATCCATGGGCGGATCTGTCCTGATGTCTTCACATGCGTCTTAGTTGCCGTACGTGGGGTTTAGGGTTTAGGGTTTAGGGTTTAGGGTTTAGGGTTTAGGGTTTAGGGTTTAGGGTTTAGGGTTTAGGGAACAACAACTTGACATATCCTGACATGCCCCGGCAGGTGTGCTTGCCCCGTCCTCCCCGTGAAGAAAGCTGCCCCATACTTGACGAGGAGGGAAACTCCTCAGAGAGTGCGACACCAGGGGTCGCACCTGCACCCCTAGCCCTAAACCCTAAACCCTAAACCCTAAACCCAAGGCCCAACACCCAAAACTCTACTTGCTGTTCTAAGCTGGATCCGAGGGCTGCACCCAGGATGATGACCTGAACATGCATGGCAGGGCAAGCAGTTGTGGCAACGGACTCGTGTTTCCTCCCTACGCCATCATCCCTGTCCTGGGCATCGCTCACGACCATGCATTGATTCATGAAGCACGCACGAATTTTGCGGCTGACATCGAGTAAGTCGGAGACTTCTTACGAAATTTACTTGAACGAACCTCTCCACTCGCCGTTTCCGTAGTTGTTTCAACATGTTCTTGCATTCATGTCCTCAATGAGGCAACAGTCAAAACTTTCGTCAAACCAATACTCTGCGGTGGTGCACCAGGGCGAAGCCCCTAAAATTTCGGGTTTACGGTTTAGGGTTGAGGGTTTTGGGTTGGAGTTTAGCATCAAGGTTTAGGGTTCAGGGTTTGGTGTTCAAGGTTTGACTTGAGGTTTCGGGTTTCGGGTTTGAGGTTGGGTCTGGGGGTGTGGTCTGGGGGGGTGGGTCTGGGTCTCTGGTGGGTCTGGGTTGAGGGGTGGGTCGATGTTTAGGTTTCGGGCTTAGGGCAGCCAAGAGGCAAGGTTCTCCAAGCTGCAGAAGCCGATGAAGATCGCAAAGATCTGCCGCCGAGGTTGCTTGGGGGCTCGGGAGAGGGAGGGAGGGTAGGAGTTTGGGGTTTGGGGTTTGGGGTTTGGGGTTTGGGGTTTGGGGTTTGGGGTTTGGGGTTTGGGGTTTGGGGTTTGGGGTTTGGGGTTTGGGGTTTGGGGTTTAGGGTTTAGGGTTTAGGGTTTAGGGGGGGGCGGGCGACCGGGTCGAAACACGACCCAACGGGAGAAAACACAACCCCACGCGGGGAAAACAGCTGAACCATGTTTGTGGGCTGCTCCAAACAAGAGAAACCACAACTGGCTATTACGGTGCCTTTGTAAGTTTGGACATGCCCTGCAGAGAATCCATCGAAATCTGGATAATGTTGGTTGTGATTCGTCCTTTCTCTTTGCGCCATTGCGCGAACATTGAATATACAATACTAACAATACTTACATGATGTCAAATAAAATATTATACAATAATGACTAATTACAATACATATATACATACAGTGAGAGAGAGAGTATATAAGCATGTATATAGAGAGAGAGGGAGAGAGTGAGAGAGAGAGAGAGAGCGTGTATAACCCAACGACTCAACAAAAACCCTCCAGACCCGTGACTCCCACTGTAAGACCCCAAAGACCCCAGTTGTATTGTGACCCATCTAGTTGTAGTATCCCCCATCTAAGCCCATTTTTCAAGATTTCATTTCAGTTGTAGTTTTACCCATCTACCCATCTTGTTGTAGTTAGCCTTATTCTCAGGGGAGAGAGGGGGGCATGGGGTGCTGTTCAAAACTAGGTGCCCTTCATACTAGAATCCTCTTACCCCCCCAACGAAGAGACCCTAGCCTGAAGACCCGAAACCCGAAACCCGAAACCATAAACCCTAAACCCTACAGAAGGGTCACACGAGTCCAGCCTGCTGTCCGATCCCGACATCGCCCGACGTGACCTTCCACACAGAGAGGATGACGTAGAAGAGCCAGAGGCTCCCCAGGAAGACCCCGGACATCACCTGTCAAGGGGCCAAAGTTCTTTTAGGGACTACAAGAGTGACTATAGTAAGGTTTCTATGGGGATTATACAGGGGAATGAGATTAAGGGTCCCTTCTAGAAAAATCCCTCCGTTTACCCCTTAAACCTGCGCCGCTTTGGGGGTTCCCGCCACGTAGCCAGGACGCTCCCGAAGAGGGGGGGGGGGGGATCCAGGGCCCCTTTTGGTATCCCCTAAAGCAAACAGGGAGCTGCTAACAGATGCCCAAAGACAGCCCTGAAAACCCAGACAAGGCCACGCCGATGCCTTGAAAATGAAGATCCTAAGCTGCCCTAAAAAACCTAAACCCTGCACCCTCAACCCTTAACCCTCAACCCCAACCCTCAACCCTCAACCCTCAACCCTCAACCCTCAACCCTCAAACCCTCAAGCCTCAAGCCTCAAGCCTCAAGCCTCAAGCCTCAAGCCTCAAGCCTCAAGCCTCAAGCCTCAAGCCTCAAGCCTCAAGCCTCAACCCTCAACCCTCAACCAACCCAATCCACGTGGCAGGCCTTGAGACCTCCAGGGCCACCGAGCCTGGTTGTTCCAAGCGGTTTAGTTCTCTAAACTAGGGTTCCTTCTTGGGGTTGCTATTCTAAGGTGGCCTGTAGTATCTAGACTATTCAGGGTACCCAAAGAGGGACCCACTATTTTGGACTTATGGACGCTCCGTTGCCCTGTTCGCGGAGTTCGCCCTGTTCGCGGGGTGCTGTGGTGTCCATGAGTGCGATTTTGAGAACTGAGCCTCTAAAGAGCTCACCGTCAGAAGAGTCCAGACTTCGGGGCTTTTGGGTGCCGGAAGGAATGGAATGGGCGACAGTCCGTGGGGAAGAGAGATCAACCAGAAGTGCTTTTTCGGAGTCCCTAAACCCTAAACCCTAAACCCTAACCCCTAAACCCTAAACCCTAAACCCTATGTCCCTAAACCCTAAACCCTGAGCTGGGAGCCCGGCTCTGCCCCGAGCCGGCTGCGGCGCAAGTAGACGACCAGCAGGGCTGCGCCAACGAGAGAAATGTGACTGCGTGACTGCGGAAAGTCGGGTTAGGGTTTGGGGCTTGGGGTTTAGGGTTTAAGGTTTAGGGTTTAGGGTTTAGGGATTAGCGTAACCTTTGGGGTTCTCAACCCCAAGTCCCCCAAAAGCAGAAAGCCAGATAAAAAAACCCGATATAAGCCATGCAGGCAGCACCCATGGCAGCGCCAACCTCCAGAGCAAAACGGCTGAAATGACGGTCGCGTGTCAACCCTGGTTTTCTTGCCCTCTCATCAGTCACTGGGGCAGGTTTGGGGCGCCCATTAAAAAAACACATTGTATGGTGTTAGAAGGATTACATAGGGGGTTAAGAGTAACAAAATTAAAAATATGTTCAAACCCAACTCTGAGTAGGGGATCAAGCTACGCGAGCCCGAACCACCCGGCTCCAATGGAAAAGCTTGTCAGTGAGTGTTCACGTGTCCTGCTATAAGTCTCATAAGCAAACGAACGAAGATGACAGCCATTTCGGCTTACTTGGTTCAAATCAAGGTCTATATTTTCCAAATTCCATTGAAGCAAATTTTCAAAGCCATGCAATCGGTCTCTCTTCCGGTGTGCGTGTATCTCAATGTCCATGTCCTGTTCGATCTCCTTTTGCGCTCACACAGGTAGCCAACGAATTGACTGTAGAAGACGAGCGTTTCTTCGGATTCTCTTTGCAAGCACGAAGAAAAGAAAGCCGTGCATTACGAATGAATTTCATTTGCAATCATGTCCTTGCCCGTTGAACCAACATTGTTGATCTCAAATATTGGTGTTTGCCAAATTATTACAGGCTGCTTCTTGCATGGACATTTTATCGGCCCTACGCGTTTTAACTTCTCATGTTTTGTGGATGAGAGCTTTTGTGGATTGCTCCTGACGCCGTTTACACTCCAACGTTTCTTCTGGCAAGAGAACGACTTGGCTGGCTAAACGTCCTTCATGCGGGCGACACGCATGGGCTGCAGTGTACCTTCTTATGAGGAGCCACGGTACCCTAAACCTTTTGCGGCACTTCCAAAGTCCATGGCATTGCTTTTGGGAGGGCAATTGTTAACGCCATCCCACACAAACGAGGAATTCATATCAACAGCGTCAGAGTCGCTTTGCTGTTCTTCCGTTCAGATCGATAGCAAACTCTAAACCCTAAACCCCCCACCCCCCCAAATCCCTCAAGCTGCCAAAAATAGGCCAAGTTCTGATTCTCTGGGATCCGGGCAGTAAACACCGCCACGCTGAAGGCCAGGTCCCCACCCTTCACGACGAAGGCCCCATTGGGCCACTGGCCTGTCAGGGGTCTTTGGTATGGTTTAGGCAGGGCCTAGGGTTTAGGGCTTAGGGTTTAGGGTTTAGGGTTTCGGGTCCCTTCCTGGAATGGTTATAGTCGGATCCCGAATTGAGTATGAGATGCTTGCACGCTTAGGGCTTTAGGGCCTGTGAGGGCTGAGAATTCAGGACTTTCATCCCCTCCCCTGCTGCCAGGTTTACGGCCACGCCTTGCAAGGTCGAGTAGCGCCCGACCCACGCATCTGTTGGCCCTGCGACCTGAGGCTGTTTACTTTTCAGGGCTTTGGGCTTACAGCACGGGTTCTTCGTAGGAATTTGGGGCTTAGATGGGCTTAGGGTCATAAGTCCCTAAAGAGGGCTGGCTGCGGACATAGGGCACCGAAGTCCCTACTGAGAACTACGAACCACGTCGTAGGGCAGGTCCTAGAGTGGCTTATAGGGCCTGTTGAGGCTTCGAGGGCTCAAAGGATTTACGGTTTGGGGTTTAAGGTTCACAGGGCCTAATTATGGGGTGCTGCACGGTTTTACATATGTTCGCAGCGTGTCACGTCAACCAGTGTGATGCAGCTGAGCTAGAAGCTGTCCAATAGATCGCGGCGATCGACCAAGGCAGACCGATGCCGAGAAAAACGTTCACGGAATTGCTGACACAGGGTTGGCCACTGCTTCGTAGCACGTCGAGACAGAACCGGTCATCATGCATCCTAGCTGTGTGGTGCGCATCCTGCCTGCCGGTCACATTCACTATGGAGGCGTCGGCATACCTGCACAACAAGTGACAAGATCGCTCACCTTTTTCAGGGGCAAGTAGCAGTTGCATAAGAAACGGGCCGATGTCAGCAATGTTCAATGTCCAGCTCGCACCCCCCAACGACCCAGTGACTCCAAAACCCCTTAATTAAGGAATATACCCTTAAATCATATTAGGGTTCCCATTATAATAACTATAAGGGATGTTCCTGAATTTAGGAGTTTTGGAGTCTCTGGGGAATAGAACCCTGAACTGTAAGCAGCACACTTGTTCGACACTGCGGCAATCTTGGACGCAAAGAGATCGGGGACCGACCTCCGAATCCGCACAATGCACGCAACCAAGGGTTGCTTAGGGTTTAGGGTTTAGGGTCTAGGAGTCTAGGGGGCTGGAATCGGCATTTCAGATTCTGCAAGGCTCCCAAAGGCAAGCAGCTTGGCTCAAAACGTGCCAAGCGCAACCACGGTGATGGCGGTGATGGAGTCCTGCTGGATAGTTGACTTTGTGGTGCTCATGTGGCTTTCTGGTGGAGGCGGCCCCCTAAACCCTAAACCCTAAACCCTAAACCCTAAACCCTAAACCCTAAACCCTCAACCCGTCCTGCAAGCCTGTCACGCATCCAAACAGCTCCGCAAAGTCGCAGATGGCCTTGAAGCAGGCGTTCGGGTTTTTTGCGGAGAAGCACGGTCGTCATTCTGCTCTACTTGGAGGTTCATGGTACTTATTCACCTCTAAGCCCCTTAAGTGCCCTAATATGGTCATAAGTACAGCTATAATTGGTGAATAAGTACCACGAACCTCCAAGTAGCCTCTGCAAGATTATTCCATGGCAGAGCCAGTTGCTATAGCTACTCCTACTCATGGCTGTCGATCGTCTGAGCTACCGGCGCATGTCAGTGCACCAATGCAACCTGATTGGCTCGGAGCTGGACAAGAACAGCGCATGATGCCAAACCCAAAATCCTAAACCCCCTAAGCCCCTGAAACCCCACAAACCCCTGAAACCCCTGAAACCCTTGAAACCCCTGAAACCCCTGAAACCCCTGAAACCCCTGAAACCCCTCAAACCCCTCAAACAACTGAAACCCCTAAACCCCTGAAACCCCTGAAACCCCTGAAACCCCTGAAACCCCTCAAACCCCCTCAAACCCCCTCAAACCCCCTCAAACCCCCTCAAAAACCCCTGAAACCCCTCAAACCCCTGAAACCCCTCAAACCCCTGAAACCCCTGAAACCCCTGAAACCCCTGAAACCCCTCAAACCCCTCGAACCCCTCAAACCCCTGAAACCCCTGAAACAACTGAAACCCCTGAAGCCCCTGAAACCCCTGAAACCCCTGAAACCCCTGAAACCCCTCAAAAAACCCCTCAAACTCAAGAAACCCTTCAAACCCCTCAAACCCCTCAAACCCCTGAAACCCCTGAAACCCCTGAAACCCCTGAAACCCCTGAAACCCCTGAAACCCCTCAAAAAACCCCTCAAACTCAAGAAACCCTTCAAACCCCTCAAACCCCTCAAACCCCTGAAACCCCTGAAACCCCTGAAACCCCTGAAACCCCTGAAACCCCTGAAACCCCTCAAAAAACCCCTCAAACTCAAGAAACCCTTCAAACCCCTCAAACCCCTCAAACCCCTCAAACCCCTGAAACCCCTGAAACCCCTGAAACCCCTGAAACCCCTGAAACCCCTGAAACCCCTCAAAAACCCCCTCAAACTCAAGAAACCCTTCAAACCCCTCAAACCCCTCAAACCCCTGAAACCCCTGAAACCCCTGAAACCCCTCAAACCCCTGAAACCCCTCAAACCCCCAAAAGCTCCTTGCTGCCGAGCGTCCGATGGACATTACGAAGCACAGATATCCCCCGCAGTACGCAGGGGGAGGGATCAGCCTCAATGAGCTGAAGGTACGCTGCGTGGTCAGGTCTCTGAACCCTGAACCTTAATTTCTACACCCTGAACCCAAAAACCCCTAAACACCCAAAAGCCCGAAAAACCCGAAAAACTCTCAAAATCCTGCAAAAAATCCTAAAACCCCGAAAAAAAACCCTAAAAACCCCAAAAAACCCTCAAAACCCTAAACACCTAAACACCCAAAAAACTCTAAAACAACCCTAAAAACACCAAAAACCCTAGACCTTGCTTGGTCCCTTTGGGGGGGGGTTTGAGCAGCTGGGAGGAGCCGGGAGCTGATTGGGAGCCGTGGAGTTTCATAGGGGTCGTTATAAGTACTTGGAGGTTCCATGGTACTTGTTAACCAATTATACCTGTACTTATAGGGTTTAGGGTTTAGGGTTTAGGGTTTAGGGTTTAGGGTTTAGGGTTTAGGGTTTAGGGTGTAGGGTTTAGGGTTTAGGGTTTAGGGTTTAGGGTTTAGGGTACTGTACATATAACTGTACGTTTAGCCATATCGGGGCACTTAAGGGGCTTATAAGCGGGTTATACGTACTGCTATACTTCGATAATTGTAACTCGTTAATAAGTACCATGAGCCTCCAAGTAGGGTTACAGCAAGGGTCTTCTATCCTTGCGTGGGGTATTTATGAACTTCCACAGCACCATGCCTTTGCATCCATCGAGCGCCATGAGTTCGCAGCGCAGTTTGCGGCGAAAGCGTCCCGTCCACCAGGACTCTGACGCGGTTCATTAACCGAACTACGCGGATAGCGCCGGTCCTCACCAGCAAAGAAGCTACTAAGCGCAGTTCGTGCTACTGCGATGAAGCCGGCGCGCTGGCACGGCGACTTCCATCTGACAACAAAGTTCACTTCTGGTCCTTACAGACCTTGAAAATCTTCAAACAGTGGGTAGCTCTCTGAAACAGAGTCCCTTTTTGGGGTCCAAGATGTATCTAGCACGGCGCCCTTCAAGTAAGGACCCCCAAAAGACCCCTAATTCAGAGAACTTTCCCAGTGCTGATTTCTACTCGAAGTCTCCGGAGCCACAGTCAGAGGGAATTTCAGAGTTGATCGGCGCACCAACGCAGAACACGCTTCTGCATGTCTCGGCGGATCCACACCTGCAGTCTTCCGCTTTGGTACCCAGTATCAGGGTTTAGGGTTTATGGTTGAGGGTTGTAACCCTTATAGGGTTTAGGGTACCTGCTTTTCGGGACCTGCACTCAAGCAGAACAAACAAGCTGCCCATCGACACAACCCCCCGCGCGGTGGGAGGAGGATGCTGCTGCCTAGGTGCTCCCGGCTTGATCTCTAGCTCAACTTCGTCCGCATCTCCCACATCCGTGATGATCGTCAAAATCCAGCGCATATGCGATTCGGAGAAATAGACGACCTTGTCCCCGATGAGCGGGATTCCTGCGAAGCGCGCGGCAACACATGGCCACACAGAGCAACACATCCTTCACCCGCAAAGCCAGCTGTACACTGAACTGTGAATTCCGCCACAACCTCTCGATCTTCAGTCAAGCTTCGGAGGTTCTCTTGGCCTGAGGCCGCACCTCGGAGTGCCAGCACTTCAGGATCTACGCGCCATGCGCGGAGTGCATGCGCTGAGGGCGGCACGTAGGTATGTGGCTTGTTGCGCTGGGGTGATCCAGGCACTCGGCAGAACGTCGAGCACCACGCAGCCGCTTTGATCATCCTGGCAAACGCAGCGTGAACATGCCAATCCCCCTGGGCCCTGTGCTGCACATATTCGTCATGTTCACCGCGGCTTCCGGCCGAGAGGCGTCTAGAACAAGCAGACGAGGATCTGGTCTCCTTCCCCCCTTCCCAGCCCAACCCGGAAATTTGCGGTCCACCGCCCCCCAAGCGCTTGGCGGAGCCGCAATCCGATGTTCCGGCTGTGGGTTCTACCTGCGGCAGTGTGTCCCCTTCACGCACGCCGCACGCTGCCGAGGCGGGGCGCGCAGGCGCTTACAATTATCGTCATACTGTCATCAGGCTCGACGCACCCTGACCTTGGGGGGGGGGGTATGCTCCAGGACGGGGCGACAGACGACGTGGACAGGCACCTCTTTTCACATCCCCCCCTTTGTCAGTACATCCTTCGAGTGGGGCTCAGCTTGGCTGGGTCCTGGATTTAGAGTTGAGGGTCAGGCTTTCGGATCCGTGCGACAGTAAAGACTATGCCACTGCCCTCGCCCTAAAACCTTGAACCAAAGCTTGTCCCTGGCCGCCTGCTGAAGAATTCGGCAGGGTATCCAAGCGGACAGGTTTAAGCAGTAGTACTCCAGCTCGACACCTGACCCGGGGGGCGGAGAACCCGTCTTGCCCGAAAGCGATGTTGGGATTTACGAAAATAAGGGTACCCTTTGGGGGTAACTTAGTCTATAAGGGGTCTCAACCCCTCTGTTGGGAAATATCCATGTGCCCCGAACCTGAACCAAAAGCCCGTGTGGATGACGGTTCGCCCTGGGCCTTGGAGGTTCGAAAGATCCAGATCTGCTGGCCCGCCGGAGGGCTTGCCGAGCTTCTCCTGCACGTGCTGGCTTGGCGGGGGACGGGGAGAGAGGGGTTCAGGACTTTGAGCATGGCAGTGCTGAGGGTTGCAAGGCTTAACCTAAACCCTAAACCCGAAACCCCAAAGCCCCAAACCAGTGAGCCCCTAAAGCCCTTCACCCCAAGACCCTCCCCTGCTCCTCGGCATTCGCCTCGCCAAGACCGAGCAGGCCAGGCAGACGCACATGGCCCTTCCTTGGGTTTAGCGGGGGTGGAGGGTAAGGAGTGAAGGGTTAAGGTTTTCAGGATTTTGGGGTGGTTGTATCAGAATCTCACTTCTTTGCAAGCAAGGTTCAGGAATAAGGTACACAGGTTTTCGGGGCCTTAGCGGTTTTTGGGGGGTCGTTGGCATGCCTTGGGGTCTCCGAGCCCATATCAGAATCTGGAAAGGCCGGTTGTTACGGGAAGTGAACCCGGCTAGGGTCTTCACAACGACGCGGGACCAAAGCATGAGCAACCGTGAAACGCGAGCTGCCGGGAATCTGGTGGTGGAGAGGTATCCAGCACCCTGGCTTCACGTCCAGCTGTATGGAGTTCCTTAGCTATGTGATGCAAACGAGGCAGAGCGTCTGCTCCTGTGCCTGGTTTGTTGGAGAAAACTGAGACGATGCCGGCCAAACCCTAAACCCTGTGACCCAGTTGATCCGAACCCCAAACCCTAAACCCCAAACCCCAGACCCTAAACCCTAAACCCTCCAAAAACTCATTGAAGCCGGGCATCTCCTCATCTATGTCGATGACCCGGCTGGGAATCCAGCGCCCGGCTGAGATGGACAAGTACCTGGGCATCGCATTGAAGGCATATGGGATGGTTCGCCCTGGCTCATTATAGGGTTTAGGGTTTGGGGTTTAGGGGTTTAGGATTTAGGGTTTAGGGTTTAGGATTTAGGGTTTAGTGTTTAGGGTTTAGGATGCAGGAAGTCGGCTCTCAAGATATAAATCGAATTTGAGAGTTGCATAGGGTAACGCAGGTAATGCAGGGGATATAAGGTACGTAAGTCACCAATTCCCTATGAAAGGAACTAGGGAAGCAACCTTAAGGCAACATAAAATTGCTCCAAAGACTGGGGGGGGGGGGGGTAATATCCCAAAAATACTCTTGAACTGGGGTACCTAATGGGGCTTAGTGAGCAGTTCCTAAGTAGGGATATAAGAAGGATAACCCCAATGAAATGCCCTTTTGAGGGTACGGCATAACTCTCCCGTACGCCTACTTACTAAGCCCCGCGATCCTCCAAGAACCAAGAACCAGTAAGCCAAGCTGCAATCCTAAACCCCAAACTCTGAACTCTGTAGACCCTCCTATGTTCGTAAACCCCCAAACCCCGAAAGCCTGAACCCTTAACCAGGTGACTCCACTGGCTGCCCGACGCTGAACTGGCCATCGTCGCTCTTCGTCCTTGCGGGCGCAGGGGCGCGGTTGGCAGGGTCGGGGATATACTTTACATTGGGGACCAAACGGGGCCTTGCGAAAATAGGGCACCCCGAAAATAGACCCAATTCAAGAGGACTCCAAGAAGGTACCCCTAATTTCGGAAACCCCCACGTTGGGGACCAAATGGACCCTGAAAGGGCTTATGGTTCATATACCTTCATAGGGATTCTCGTAGTACATATGACCCCAATCTTAGGGCTCCTTTGGTCCCCTTCAGTGTTCAGGGCTTAGGGTTTGGGGTTCAGGGTTCATAGGCTTTCGGGCTCGGGCGATGCTCGGAGCATCCGGTGAACCTCCTGCCATCCTCGCCACCTTCAAGTAGCTTAACAAACCCTAAACCCTCAACCCTCAACCCTAAACCCCTAAACCCCTAAACCCCTCAACCCCTCAACCCCTCAACCCTAAACTCCTAAACCCAACAAACCCAACAAACCCAACAAACCCAACAAACCCAACAAACCCCCTCAGTCCCAAACCCTAACCCCTTCAACCTTCGGAACTCGAAGTCCTTTGACCACCCATCTGAACCCACAACCCCGAAATCTCCAACCCCAAACCCGGTTTTCCGAAAAGTTTTGCGGGAGCACCTTCCAATTGACAGGCGCACCTGCTCAGGAGTTGGGGTGTTAGGGTTGCGGGCTTCAGGAGGGTTCGGGGCTTCGGGTGGTGCGAGGGGCGTCGGGGTAGAATTCCTGCCTGCGAGAAGGTGGCCTCGTATATGTGGGGTGCCCAAAAAGGACCATGATGTAGAAGACTGATGCTACAGACATGGTGTGCATTCTTCAAACTTGGAGATTAAAACGACTTAGCTGTCGACTTAGGAAGGAAACCTCGAACAGGGGGGGCCCGGGGGTGATGCTGGCAAACCCTAACAGCAAGATGGAGGCTTTGCCTGTAAACCCTAAACCCTACAGGCCCTAAACCCTCTCTTCAACCCCAAAACCCCAAACCCTCTAGACCCTAGACCCTAGACCCTAAACCCTAAACCCTAAACCCT